CAAAACTGGCAACTAAAGAGACAGCTTTATTTATTTGTCATTACAGAAACCAATCTGTTATGAGCCTGGGGGAAGGCCTGGTGTTAAGCCCAGGGGGGGGGGACTAGGGCTATTGCTTTTTAAAAATGAAAAATAATTTTAAAAAACACATTTTTTGAATAAACCGTTTACATGAATTTCTCTATCAATAAATTTCATAGACTTGGTTATCAAACCGTGTTCCCGTAGATTACTTAAATACCTACAAATTTTCTAAAATATATAAATTAACACATTTTTTGAACACAACAAAATAATATTAACTAAACAAAACAAGCAAATAAAAATTAATACGTAGCCAAGAGTCATTATTCAGGATTTCTCTTGGGGGTTACCCTGTAGTTACGCCAATGACGCCAACCCAGCACAATATTTTTTCTACTCGTAATAAATTCCTTGAAATAATAATTTCTGAATATTTTTTAAAACGTAACTCGCTATGGAAAAAAATATTGTTTTATACACGACGATAAAATTGCATTATCGTCAATAACATTTTATCGTCTTGTATAAAAAATAACTATTTTTGCTCCGTATTCTTGATACCCGTACCGATTGACGTGAAATTTTAACAGTGAATAGAGATATATGTAAGAAACAAAAGTTACATTACATTAATCTTTTCGATCGACGATAAAATACCATTTTATCGTCTTGTATAAAAAATAACTATTTTTGCTCCGTATTCTTAATACCCGCACCGATTGACGTGAAATTTTAACAGTGAATAGAGATATATGTAAGAAACAAAAGTTACATTACATTAATCTTGTCGATCGACGATAAAATACCACTTTATCGTCTTGTATAAAAAATAACTATTTTTGCTCCGTATTCTTGATACCCGTACCGATTGACGTGAAATTTTAACAGTGAATAGAGATATATGTAAGAAACAAAAGTTACATTACATTAATCTTTTCGATCGACGATAAAATACCGTTTTATCGTCTTGTATAAAAATAACTATTTTTGCTCCGTATTCTTAATAACCCGCACCGATTGACGTGAAATTTTAACAGTGAATAGAGATATATAAGGAAACAAAAGTTACATTACATTAATCTTTTCGATCGACGATAAAATACCATTTTATCGTCTTGTATAAAAAATAAATATTTTTGCTCCGTATTCTTAATACCCGCACCGATTGACGTGAAATTTTAACAGTGAATAGAGATATATGTAAGAAACAAAAGTTACATTACATTAATCTTGTCGATCGACGATAAAATACCACTTTATCGTCTTGTATAAAAAATAACTATTTTTGCTCCGTATTCTTGACACCCGCACCGATTGATGTGAAATTTTAACAGTGAATAGAGATATATGTAAGAAACAAAAGTTACATTACATTAATCTTTTCGATCGACGATAAAATACCATTTTATCGTCTTGTATAAAAAATAACTACTTTTGCTCCGTATTCTTGATACCCGCACCGATTGACGTGAAATTTTAACAGTGAATAGATATATATGTAAGAAACAAAAGTTATATTACATTAATCTTTTCGATCGACGATAAAATACCATGTTATCGTCTTGTATAAAAAATAACTACTTTTGCTCCGTATTCTTGATACCCGCACCGATTGATGTGAAATTTTAACAGTGAATAGAGATATATGTAAGAAACAAAAGTTACATTACATTAATCTTTTCGATCGACGATAAAATACCACTTTATCGTCTTGTATAAAAAATAACTATTTTTGCTCCGTATTCTTGACACCCGCACCGATTGACGTGAAATTTTAACAGTGAATAGAGATATATGTAAGAAACAAAAGTTACATTACATTAATCTTTTCGATCGATGATAAAATACCATTTTATCGTCTTGTATAAAAAATAACTAAAATTGTTTTCTTTTAATTTTTTTTAAACTTATGAAGGACTTTAATCTTCTGTAGATATGAAACTAATCATGATCGGGCCTATATTTCATATCAATTACATTTTTAGTTAGGGCGTGATTTTTAAACTCATTGTTGCCAACCAAATTGCATTTTTGAGAGATAGCACGTGTTTATTGAAACACCCTGTATGTGTAACAATTGTAAAAAAATATTTCATTCATTGTATTCTTTCAATTCGATTCAGAAAACGCTTCACAACTGTGTTTAACCATATCGCCAATAAACAAAATAACATCAAAGGTCAATTTAATTGTTGTTGTTGCCTTAATTAGCCCTCAATAATTATTGGGTCCAATATAGCGGCAAAACGCACATGCACATCAATGTATACGATTTAATATGATACACGAAACAACAATCCATGCCAACGAAATTGGTTTAAACAAGTATCATTTTGTATCAATTGTGCTCTGCAATTCGTTCACCAACCAGTAACAAACTCTAAATACTGTATACAGGGTCATATTAATTATCTGAATAACTCTTTTTACCATATTTTGTTATTTTACTCTTTTTGTAATTACTTAGAGACACGCATCAGAAGACGGTTTACGCAAAGCGTTTTCTTTCATGAGCTTTTCTGTGAATGAAAAGCCTGATACGTTATCTCTCTTCCGCACTCAGGTCATTCAAAAATCTCATTACTTTGTTGGTTCTTTAGTTTTCAGTTGTCGTTGTTAACTGAGTTTACAGTTCTTCCCCATTTTTGGTACTAATTTGGTATTATTTGGTAATAAACTGGTATTATTTGGTAATAAACTGGTTTTATTTGGTATTAAACTGGTATTAAACAGGTATTTTGTTGGACATCTGGCAACGCTGGATTAAACGCACGTGGCGACGACGGCCGGGAAGCTGATTGCATCATTTCTAGCCCATTTGCATCTAAAGCTAATACTGAAAAATATCTGGAATCTAAAGGTGCTTTGACAAAATCGTTTAGTTCTGGAAGTCTTTCAGAAGATACCACTCTACATGTTTTGGAAACTGATTATATCCAAGAAAATAATATAGTTTCTAAAATACTAAAGCAATGGTTAAAGTCAAAAATTGGCGATGAACTCTGGAGCACTCTAAACTGCAATACTCTGTTTAATAACATTATTTTTAGCACATCAATTTTACTTCCAAACTCTACTGCAAACTTCGAGGCAAACTCGATTTCGGGGTCGACTTTCATATGCAAAATAACCTGCTTTTGTAAAAAGCAAGTAACTTTACAAATAAAATATCATCCTTCTACAAAAACCACAAAAACAAATTCTCTGAAATCTCAGACCAAGCTTGTGGCAGAGCAGCAAATAATTCATCGTTATTTGTAAAATTTTCCGGGTGTTTTTGCCGGACTTCGCGTTCTAGTTGCTCCCACATATTTTCTATGGGGTTCAAATCCGGGCTCCGAGCTGGCCATTTTATAACAGGCACTTGTTCTGCTTCAACAAATTCTTTAACGATTTTTGCAGTATGCTTTGGATCGTTATCATGCTGAAACTTCCAAACAGGAGGTAACGATTCCTCAGAAAATGGCAACATTGTATTTCTTGAAATGTCCAGATACTGATACCGATCCATAATTCCTTCTATTCTTCTTAGTGGTCCCATTCCATGGCCAGAGAAGCACCCCCACACAAGCATGTTGCCACCCCCATGTTTGATAGTTGGCGTAGTATATTTAGGATTGTATTTTTCGTTATTAGGGCGCCTTACCCACTTCATACCATCGGAGCCGAACATGTTAAATTTGCTTTCATCCGACCATAGCACTTGTTTCCATTGGTCGTAAATCCAATTTAAATGTTCTGTGGCAAGTAAAAGGCTTTTTGGCAGGACGTCTGGCGTGTAGCTTCTAATAGTCCCCACAGAAATTGAAACATGTGGATTTTCCTTTTTTATATCGACCGCAGTAATAAATGGATTTTTCAAAGAACACCTTATTAATTTATCGGTGGCAGCTCCACTTTTTCTGGGCCGTCCTGGTTTAGGTTTACTTTCAATTGATCCTCTTACTTGGTACAGTCTTATTTGTTTGCAAACAACACTTTTATTTAATTTTAACTGACTTGCAATATCAACCTGCTTGACTCCCTCCTGGTATTTTTTAATAATCAGTTGTTTTACCTGATTTGATAAATTAATACCACGAGGTATTTTAAAGACAAACTACAAAAATACTGACAAAATATTAACTTTCTCACACAAGCAATAGCAAATTTATAGTAATAATAGCAAAAGTTTCTTCATTTATGTCCCCATAGAAATAAACAATTTTACTTATCAGCAAATTATTTCTGAAAATATTTAGTGTTTTTCTTTTTTATTAAGTATTATCAAGATCTATAAACATTCGTATACTTGGCGTATCAATAGCAAATGTATTTGTGGAATGCATTGTGCAATTTAAGAGTTTCTCCACTTTGGGCCGGCACTGTATATCACTGTAATTACAAAACTTCAATCTATTTCCGTATTGTAACGGAATTTTAAATTATGTCTTTATTTTCGAGAAAATTTAGTCCAAACATAAGGAGTTACAAACATAAGTTATCTAAAAATGTGCTACAATACGGATATAGTATAATCCTTTATCTTTAATTTCCTTCTTCATTTTTGTAAAGATACCTGCCTGTTTTACATAAAACGTTAAATGCCGAACGCTTATTTTGCTACTTTTTCGAACTAGTGAAATGGATTCTTAATACAAGATTGTGAGGATTTTTTAATCACACCAAACAAGTACAAAAATGACGAAAAACAAATCCTAATATAAAATCTCAAGACACAGACAATAATTTTCCCCATGTGTTAATCTCCAAAAAAATACTGGTAATATTTTTAAGGTTCATCTATATTTAGAACACCTTTACGGTGAAGTAAAGGTTAAACTCGATATTTTTCTAACACATGTAGGTACTATATATTGTTTTTTCGAAAGTCCAAAATAGAATTTCAATTATTGGATACGGTATATACATGCACTTCGTCAAATCAGAGAGCATGCCAGCTTTTAAAATTAAAAATATCACATTATGGTTTAATATAGGTTCACTCTGATCGAATATCAAATGGCAGTGTTATAATGCCAGTGGCAACAGTTATAATTTTTTTGGGATATCTGAAAATTTTGAGCAAAGTGATTTAAGAATCGTCTTTCAAGTGCAATGGGTATTCATAGCTATATCAAATTTGGTAAACAGAGGTTTTGGTTGCTTGGATTTTACTTGTTTTATGTTGATTTGTTATTGTAAATCTCATCAATGACAATGAGAATCCATTATTTGTTACGGTATTCATAAATAAAGTCATAAAATTCCCTTGTGAATCTGTCTCTAACGGGAATTAAGAGGTTTGCTCTGCAATATATTTTTTTTTAATTTGGAAATAATAAAAATTTAAATGGACCAGAGAAAGAAAGATTTAAACACTTCAAAGAACTTCTTACACTGATATTCGGTAAGTTATTGATGGATCAATATACAGATATGTTTAATATTCAATAATCAGTTTCATATAAAATTTAAGGGTGAGATTGTTAATCTGGAAATAAAATACAACAAAGTCCAACAGAGTGTTCGTTGAATGAGTATAACAAACCCAACTGTTTTGAGGGAAAAAAAGCGAGAAAAATGATTAAACGAGGGTCCACTCAAATCGTGGCGATATACCAGTGTTTACTATTTTAGTATGTTAGCAATTAGGTAAAATATATTTTTTAATGGGGTTTTTACAAATTCTGTTCTTTTTACAGTGCTTTTTCTACTTGGTTTCTGCAGAAAGTGTAAATAATCATTATTATTGTGTTATTTGGGATATTGGTGCTCTCATGTATTATAAAGAAATATAAGAATTTCATTTTTAACCACTTAACTATTTATGAAGAAAAGTGGTACATTTAACACAAAACAAAATGGAACAATTTTAAGGGTTACTGAACTTACGATCGAGATATTCTTTGAAAATACAAAGTTTTGCCTTCCCAATTTCGTTCTAAAAAAGATATTATAATTGGTGTCATTGAAATATTTCTTAAAAAGAACGAAAAAGTTAGGGCATCAAAACTTGTATTATTTCATAAATTCGTTCATAAGAAGTAGTTTTTATCTAGCACAAGATGTGTATATATCGAAGCAAAAATACATACCTTATACACGCGGTAGTCACAACTGCAATGTGTAAACAGAGTTTAAACGTAATACACACAAGCATTGTATCCTACGGCATACCGTGTAATCCCTTACTTTGTGTATACGTAAAATGCTATACTGTGGCTACATTGTGAGGCGGACGTTTAACCTTTGTTCATACGTGTTGAACTACAATGTGTAAACGTAGCATATTTACATCGGGGGAATGGTGTCACCCTGTGTCTACGACTAATAATGTAAACACTTCGTAAATGTGATTTGATGTGCTGTATGGGCTACCTCTAGGTGCCACCCCCTCACTTCTAATCTCAAGATAGCGATACCCCACTTGTGACACTTCTTTGGAAAGCTAATTGAAATTGCTAAACGATGGTCATACAGACTTCAACTTATTTACTGGTAACTAGTGGTAAGAAATGTAGGTGTGACAATTTGAAAGAAATTTAAAATGATAATTTATTTTAACAATTGCTCAAATTCTTTTCTCACTTTTTGGAAAGTCTCTCTCGGAATATTTCGACATGCTTCAGTTCTCCTCTGCCGCAATTCTTGCAACAAACCTGGTTTTGTCTTGTAGACTATGGATTTAGTGTAACCCCACAAGAAAAAGTTTAAAGGAGTGAGATCAGGTGATCTGGCGGCCACTCGATTGACCCCTTCTGCTAACCTTATTGCTGTGGGATAATTATTTATCCAACCACCGCCTTCTAGACAATAGAATAATGCGGGAGGGGCTCCATCTTGCTGAAAGTGTATGAGGTCTTCATTAAGAGCGGCACTAAATTTCTTTGTACCTGCTTCGTAATGGTACATGTGGATACAAAAAAATAATTCATTCTATTGATTTTGGACACGTTTTGACATTTTTTTTATTTTAAACTTTCCATTTTTTTCGTTCTTTTTATTGCTGAAATGTTTTTGATACGCTTTTCAAAGAGGTGTCACAAGTGGGGTTTCGCTATCTTGAGGTTAGAAGTGAGGGGGTGGCACCTAGGGGTGGGTCGGGGTGATTTGAAAAATACCTCATTTAGCTGGGTCCCAATTTGTAACTTATTAAAAAGACATTATAATGCAATATTAAAAAGTTTCAAACTCTTCATTAAATAATTAGAAAATATAATTAAGTTATAATAAACTTTATAAAGTTCTTTACTCTTCATCACCTCTTTTGAGACCTAATATTACAATCGCGTGATGAAAGAAATTTTCCCTGTTTTTTTTTCTATTAAAGTAGCATGTTGCTATTCTCTTACGTATCTGGTTTTTTTCTGTTGTTTTAAATCTTTTATTAGACATATCAGCCAGTCTGAACAATCTAAAAACATCACGCAAACTTAATTTCTCAGATTTTATGTGAACGAAGTTTATATAGTAAACGCCACGAATGTTTGGGAGTGATTCATCGCTTGATGAAGTTAGAATCGACACGCGCGCCATCATTTTTTACATTAAAAACGTAAATTTTTACCGCAGACGTAGGTTTTTAAAGACCCGGTCTAATCATCTGCCTGCGCTCCTCCTACTTATTCTAAAATGTTAGAGATGTTATATTTATAACCAAATATAGGTTTTGACAAGACTTTGACAGTTAAAACAACAAATTACAACAGATTATATATTGATTATTATATGACTTGGAACAATTAATGGCACTGGAATTAAGTTTTTTATGTGACCTTTGAACAGATTAGTTCACATGGTAGCGAATCTCTTTGAATAAGAAGACTAAGGAAGGAGCATAATGCTATCCAGTTATTCATGCATGGTGGGCGGAAAAAGCGCCAAGGTTACTCTAGGTTGGGATCCTTGATTGTGTTCTTGTTTGACGATTCATTTGACATTTGAATTTGATTTGAAATTTCGTGGATTTGTCAGTATTTACGGAGCTTACTTTATGTTATTTTTATTATTTATTCTACTACTGATAGTTGTATAAAAGGTAGTAAATCTAGATGGAAATTGTGGCAGCACTTAAATTAACAGTGACATTATCGCGATTTATCGAAAAGACTCTAAAATAGTTGGTTGTGTAGCGTGCGGTAGATCTCGGCAAAATTGAGTGAAATAATGGAACAACTTTCGCTAGTAAGTGACTATATAATATACATACGTGTAGTAAACCGATCATTTATGAAATCTTCACTTAAATTAACTAAATTTATATATTTTTCTTGCATTTTTTAGCTTTTATTTATTACTTGTCAAAAGATTAGATGTCAAAGAATTTAGATACGTTAATTTGACTTACCTGCTTCCAGTAGCGTATCGGATGTTTGTGGTAATACTTATTATAACTTCTATCTACTTTTATTAGAATTATATATTTATAACAATTTTAATAACTACCAAATATTTATTCACAACGTAAAATAAAACAACAAATTATTGAGTCTTACCCCTTAATGCCCATTCCTATATCATAGTTTTACATTTTTAAAATAAAATTAGAACGACACTGATAAACCGGAATTTAAGTCGGCCATATTTGAGGCCCATCGCTGTGTACCTAAGATTTTTGATATGCTCCTTCCTTAATCTTCTTATTGAAAGGTAGCAACCGATGAATCACTCCCAAACATTCGTGGCGTTTACTATACCCGCTTTACCCGACCCGAACAGTACAGCGTAATAGACTTAAAAAAAACAAACTAAAAATCAAAATCTAAAATATTTACTTGTCTTAGTACCGAAATTGTATATGTCTTCTTCGCTAGTCTTTTTATTCATCGACTGCAAGTTAAAATAATGCTTCCAAAGAAAGTAAATATTTTCCTTATAAAGTTTTATTTCTGTTTACAGAAAAAATGGCCAACAAGATTATCTTCTTTCCCGAAGTCAGTCCGGAAGATATGGAAAAAAGCGGAAAATCCAGGGTGGAGGAAGAAAAATGTCTACAGGGTGGTGATGACAAGAAATCTGTTACATACGTCATAAACAGCAACGAACTGGAGGAGGATAGGGGTGGCTGGGGACACAAGCTGGACTTCCTAATGTCCTGCATCAGTCTTTCGGTGGGTCTGGGCAATGTTTGGAGGTTTCCGTATTTGTGTTACAAAAATGGAGGGGGTAAGTTGATGGTGTACCTTCGTCGGAAATAAGAAATACCATGCAAAGTTTGAAATATCCGAGTATTGATTTTCCTGTTGATTTTTATGCATCCGTTATCCGTTGATACGATGGTCCAACGGTGCTTTGTTTGGTCATAGCGTTTTCGTGCCGCTTTTCATCCGTTTAAATTTCATTTAAATTTGTCAACGGAGAAAGATTGTACGATAACGAACGTTTTGACACTTTTTTGACAAATTTAATCTGACCTTAATAAAAATATAACAGTACAAGAGCTAGCAACGTGGGGAAAATGAGAATTTTAAGAAAGCTGGTTCTTAAATATATCTTTTGCTATGCTCTCCTATGCTCTTCTGACAAAAGTGCAAGCCGTCTGGTTGCTGGTAGACTACTGCCGTTCACTACTGCGCATCACATCTGTACAGGGTATCATTTTTCGTATGGTTTATGGGATTTCTCGTTTATGAGTAGATTTGTTACTTTTTTATGAAACTTAATATGCTACACATATGTTTGTCCTAGCCTCCTTAGCTCCTGAAATACAGGGCGAATTTGTGATGCGCAGTAGTGAAAAGATGTTGAATACAGATATGATGCGCAGTAGTGAACGCAACGTCTACCGGCAGCCAGACGGTCCGTATTCTGTTCAGTAGAACATAGCAAAAGATATATTAAAAAACCAGCTTTCTTAAAATTCTCTCTTGAAAACGTTTCTAGCTCTGAGACTATAAGTAAAACAGCGAAATCGCTATGGGAATGAAAATATAGGAAATCGGTGGTGCCAAATTTGCTCTTTGTCTGAGGTGAAATATTGAAAACCGTAGTAATGGTTGGCGACACTGTATTTTGAACCTCTAGTTCGAGAAATATTTTAGTACTGGTTTTTTAGGGGAGCATATTCGCAATAAAAACGTGGGGGCCCATTAACTTAAGTTGTTGTAATACTTTCTTCTTATACTAAGTGTGATTGGCATCGACTTACTATAATCGTAACTGAAGATTTTTGACAATCAATAACCAGCCGTGGCGGCTTCTACCTCAGCGAACGCCGAGCTCATGATTTACCAAAGTATAAAGATATGCTTTTTGCCATAGGTAGGGATTTCAGGCCCTTAATGCTTTTTATTTTTAGTCTAATATGCCTAAAAGCTATTCTGCCTTAGTACTAAAATAAGTTTCTGAACTAGGGAGTTCAAAATACTCCAATTGTTATTATTATTTTCTAGTTTTCAGTGCACATAAGATAAAACCGTTCAACTTAAAAAGTTTTTTTACCAATTTTTATTTTGTTTGTTTGTTTTCCCCACGAGTAATGGACATTTACCTTGTCGACCCCCCCTGTGAGTGTCCAGTAGAGGGCAAGGCATAATATACAACAAGAGCTCAATTCGAGGGGAAAACGCTTGCGACATTACATTTTTAGCCACCCTAATGCCAGTTGCAGTCCTCAGTGAATGTTTTAACCTATTACCTTAACTTGGGTGGCAAAGCTACCAAGCAACTACGTAGGTACATCTAATCACCTATTTTTTTTATCTGTCCTTCTAACGTCATTACCACCTTGGCACACAACTGTTCTGACACGACTACTCATGCCCTCACCTAATACGCCATTTTGTAACGACGTCCATCTTGGATTTTAAATTTTGTCATAATCACAGTATTCTACTAGTGTAGCCCTTTCATTTGATACCCATATTGAGGGGGTTGTGGAAAAATATGAAATCCGCCATTTTGTACCGGCGGCCGTCTTAGATTTACAATGTTATTGATAATACTATATTGTATTGTCATCGGAACTAAAGGTGTGTACCAAATTTCAGATCAATCTGACAACAGGAGGGTACTTAAATTTCAATTTCTAATTTTGACCCAAACAAATAAATAAATACCGTACGGGTCGAGCTAAATAAAACCGTTTAAAAATGACACCAATCAGAAGCAAATCGTATATCCGATAAACCGCAGTTTTTAAATGCAATACATTTAAAAACTGCGTAATTTTCTAACCAATCGAAGTCTTTGAATTCAACCAATAAAATTAATATCATATCGTCGTATCGTCGGATAAAGGATGCACAAAGATCAAGCTTAAGTTGTATAGGTATAGGGCTTGAAAAGGTCTGTGTATAGCAAATACAAATGCCAATGCCAAGGGAAAGTAGAAATTGTTATTCCACAGTTATTTGTATCAAAAAGACAAGAATGAAGAAACAATTTATTAAGGTGCGTATTCATTATCCGCACGAACGAACGAACGAACGAACGAATGTTCGCTAGTGGTATGGACGGGGACCGCACGATAGAACCGCACGAGAAGACCGCACGCATTTCTTCATTCGCGCGCCAGTTCAAATCGTCAAGATATTGTTATAAACCTGTTTTTTTTGGTTTATATACTGTCATTAATTAGTCGCTGCTGTTACTATGGAGCAGTGCATAAGTGAGTCGGGCTAGAAGCGAGACCGGAGTTCGAATCTCGGCCGGAACATCACTTTTATTTTTTAAATACTGTTGTATCTCTATAGTTTATTTTTGTAGTATAAGAAAAGAACTATTTATTCTGTTATTTTTAATCTCCGTTAGTTACTATAAATTGATTGTTAGTACAATACCTCATTTAATATAAAATAATATTTTACTTGAAATGTATCGGGCCCTAATTGTACCTTAAAAGTAATATATTTTTAGTGATATACCATATTGTAAAGTATTTAATATTTCAGTCGCTTAAAAGTTAATTTGCATTGAATACTGCTCACTATTAAAGGAAATTTGGAGCTTATATAAATCTGATGGGCATATGCCTCTGGGCATGCAAATACTTCTTTAAATTTTGGATGTGGTTCAACTGATTATTCTCAAAACCAGAAACATCTACATAAGTAAAAAAGAAGCACAGGTCACTAATTATAATAAACTTCACCCCTTATATTACTCACTAATTATAATAAACTTCACCTTTGAATTACTTCTACCGCTACCACAATATTGCTCATCTGCATTGGCATTTTCTACTTTCGATGGGAAACAATAAACTTCCCAACATTTTTAAATGATGTAACAATTCCTCTTGTGGTTACTTTTCCATAGATATGCCCTCATCTCTGTTCTCATGTGAATCTTAGAGGCACAAAATGAAAAATTATTTACCATAAACATCGCAAACTAAAAAACCTAATAAACAATTTTATACCGAATATAGAAATAAATTTAGTATTTTTACCTATTATCGTCCAAATCCATGTTAATAGATAATTATTATTTTAAATATAGTTTTTGAACTGCTGGTTTTATAATTATTAAATTAAACGAACTAAAAAGTCTTAAAAAATAAACAATTTTAACCATAACCCTCAAAATGCAGATCTCCTGTCAACTTTCTTTTATTTTTTATTTATTCATTATTTTCCTAGTGACGTCACAGGTGGTATGCGCGAACTGAACGAAATTGAGCCGCTATCGATCATACCTTGTATTCTTTGGTACCATGACGTCTAAACGCCTTTGATGTACCGACTCGAAGCGGATGGTCGAGCGCACGAACGAACGAACGGCCGCATGCGTTCGGTCCCCGTCTAAATATACCGCACTTTCATTCGTTCGTTCGTTCGTTCGTTCGTTCGGATAATGAATACGCACCTTTAGAGATTATTATTTAATCAATTTATATTAACTATATTTTTTATTATACATATTATTAATTTTCAATTATTAATGGACAGTGTTTAAATGTCCTGCAATATTTCGGGAAATGTTTACTTCTGTAAATTGTAATGCGATGATATTTCTTTTCGGGCAATTATCTGTTCGGGTAACTTTCTTTTCGGTAATTTGTTTTTGGGCAATTATTATCCTAGATCATAATTATTCTGTTCTTGTAGGAGCATTTTTGGTAACCTACACGATAGCAATGATCTTCTGTGGCATTCCTCTATTTTTTCAAGAAGTAGCTGTAGGCCAATACCTGGGTTCAGGAGGAATGACTTTTGTAGGACACCTGTGCCCTATTCTAAAGGGTGTAGGATTTGCCACGATGACCATAGTGTTCCTACTCGATATTTACTACTGTATTATCATAGCTTGGACATTATTTTATATTATAACTACAATAGCTTCTGTACCAGTACTAACATGGGACAGTTGTGGTAAGTTTGAAAGTAAGCTTAAAAACACTTTTACCATAATTGATTAATAAGTATTATATTAAACAAGAATTTCTAAGAAGAACAAGGTTCGTTTTTGTTCACTAGAAACCAACATTATTTTTATATTTAATCGGTCCTTTATTTTTTTCTCATATTTCTGAAATGGTTTCTATTTTATAATAAATTGAAAATTTATTTAGGTCTGTGCCTGGTACTTTAACTAAAATCCTTGAATTTCGATAAATTTCGATAACTGCGGAATACGGAGAATTGTTGGCTAGCAAGACGCAATCTTTCTCTATATAATGAAAGCAGAAGGTCTACATCTCCTGTTGAAGAATTTTTCGAGTAAGTTATAGATAAATATGTGCATTTGTTACATTGACTTATATAAAACTCACCCTGTATTAGTAAATTTTTTATCTATCCAAAAAAAATCCTTATGGGTTTTTCGCCACTGCACTGCAAGAAAAATCTACAAAATAAAATAGTTATTTTTTGTAAACACTTCTGGCGTTAAACCTAAACGGACGCTGCTTGTCAGAAGTTGTGCTTACAGTAATAAAAATTTGCCTAAAGAAAAAAAATGCTTAACGTTTCGGAAAGTTTTCTCTTTCCAGTCGTCGGAAGCAAAAAAAAATATAAAAGCAATCGAAGAAATAAACTATTTAAAATATTTAAATTGAACTATTCGAGAACATTCTCCTTACTTTTTTGAATGCAAACAGATACGTCTACAAGAAATCGTTACTGTTCTGTTAAAACATATTATATTAAGTTAAACTCTAAATTAAATAATTGTTACCTGATAATTACTTATGCAAAACCAAAAAGCCCAAAAAACTTCAGATGATTATTTTTAAATTTTACGTATGTTATGTTTATTTATGTAATGTTCTTTAAAATCAAAGAAGGGATTGCCATACATTAATAACATCTATAGATGCATGAAAGCAATACATTTATTTTATTAGATTGAATTTAAAAAGCCTCTTTTATTTTAATCTCTTTTTTATTTTTTCTTTTATTTTTTTTATTTTTTTTATTTTATTTTTTTTAACGATGAGACGAGAATCTTGTTTTTAAAAAGTAAAGTGTTCTCGAATAGTTCAATTAAATATTTTAAATAAGTTTTTTTCTTGATTCTTATATTTTTTAAAGCTCCGACGACGGAAAGAGAAAACTTTCCGAAACGTTACATTTTTTCTTTGTTAGCAAATTTTGGTTACTGCAAACACAACTTCTGACAAGCAGTCCGTTTAGGTTTAACGCAGAAGTGTTTACAAAAAACTATTTTATTTTGTAGATTTTCTGTAGTGTGCAGTAGCGAAAACCCATATGATTTTCTGATGATGAATCCACCAGATAGGGTATGGCTAATATTGTTTAAATTTTAAATTCTTTAACAAATTTACAAAATACAAAAATTTTCATTTTACTCTAAATGTTATTGTTTATTTAAATCTTGCAAAACTGGTATTTATTAAAAGCCACTCGAGTTAAAAGCATCATTAAGATTGTCTGAAATTCTAATTATTTTCAATCCTCTCTTAGATCCTTCCTTCTTAACCTAAGCAGTTCTTAAATTAACTAAAATAAAGATTTTCCTTTTGTTCCTTCTAATTAGAGAATGGCAAACTTTTTGATAATAAAAATAAGTTTTCAAGCAAATGCTCATTTTTGTTAATTACCTTGCTTTAAAAGAAAATTAAGAACTGCATGTTTTCGAAAAGTAAAAAAGATAAATTTTGAATATTAACATTTTTTTTGAAATATAAAGCAAATCAGTATATTAAGGGATCATATGTTTTATTCAACAGCCACTTTTATTCAGACATACTCACATGTAAGGCTACGTACAGCAAAATAAAGAATAACATTAATATCGGAAAGTTTCTTGAAGTTATAACAAACCAGTCTGTTATAACTTCAAAAGCCACACCATTTTATAGAAATTATTAAGATTTATTCATAAATTACTATGAGTTCTTAACACCACAGTTTGACAAACAGGCTAAAAAACCTTTTATTTTTACCTTAACTGAATTATTATTTAAGAAGAAAATATTAAAATCTCGACATTTCTACTGTATTTAAATATATATGAGCATATGTTACATGTTGTTAAGACATACAGCATATATACAGCAGTACATAGCAAAGATAGCATAAGAAAGAGTATACATAAGGCTAAGGGTTGTTGAGCAGCATATATAGTTTAGTTTCTATAAACATTAAAATAAACTGTAGGCCAATAAATAAACAAAAATATTGCACAATATCGTGACAACTAAATGTTCGGACACTTTAAAAAATAACTGTTCTGATATGGCTTTACATCGGCATGAACTTTTGCAACCACTGCAAGCCTGTTTGGCATTGTTTTTATTAATCCTGTTGAAATATAAAATTATTGTCCTGGTCTTTACCAGAACAATTGGTTACAAGGACCTTTGTCTTTCCCACTTGACACAAGAATATTTTTCAAAATTCTTTGATTTTTTGACGCATCAATTATGCCTTCTACTACCTTATACTTTTCTGGGCCTATTTTGGACATACACCTTCAAATCATAATCCCTTTAGGAAATTTCACTGTCCTTTTGAGGCAATCTTTATCAAATAGACACTCTAGCGGTGTTCGATTATATTTATTATATCAATATTAAGGTGGCTGATGTGCATATGTAATCCGCGCACTTATGCCATTTGCGATTGGAATTATTAGCGTCGGATTGGGAAATAATTAAATATTTTACCTTAATCTCATTTTTGTAGTTTGTGACATCAGAAGTTCCAATCCTACGCTGTTAATTCTAATCGCAAACTGCAAGTTCAAGGATTACATCTGCACGCATGCATGATCTTTATGAAAGATGGACAGTGGAATTTCCTAAAGATATTGTGCTTTTAGAGTTTGTGTCCGCAATGGGTCTAGGAAGGTATGAGGTGGGTAGAAAGGCACAACTAATGTGTCAAAACATCAAGAAATTTTGAAAAACAGTTTTGTGCGAAGTGCGAGAGACCTTTACCAGGATATGAATTTTATATTTCCACAGGATGGCGGGGCATGCCATACGGCTAAAACCACTAAAAAATGGTTTAGGGACATGAACATCAAGGTCCCCACATTGCCTTCGCAAAGTCCGGACCTTAATGTTATCGAGACATTCCACAATTCCCAAGAAAACCATTGCCCATTTGACGATGATATTCAGTGAATTATGGCAAAATTTTTACTCTGGCGTATGTCAATCATTAATAAAAACAATGCCAAACAGGCTTGCAGTGGTTGCAAAAGTTCATATGTCGATGTAACGCCATATGAGAACAGTTATTTTTTAAAGTGTCCGAACATTCAGTTGTCACGATATTGTGCAATATTTTTGTTTATTTATTGGCCTACAGTTTATTTTAATGTTTATAGAAACTAAACTATATATATATATTTAAATACTAATTAGAAATGTCAGATTTTAATATATTTCTTAAATGTAAGTAATTCAGTTAATGAAAATAAAGGTTTTTAATAAATTTTTGTTTGTCCGAACATTTAGTTGTTAGGGCTCGTATTTATTTAAATTAACATTAACATTAAATGAAATTAATACCTACTAAAAATAATAATAATAATTTAATACTTAGTCCATAAGGATGATGGAACAAATTTCATCTGTAGTTCAAAGAAGTAAGCAAGCAAGATAGTTTCGTTTATACCTTTGACATGTTTTACTTTCATCCACTCTTGAAACGCCTTGAATTGCCTTGAATACTAAGGGTCGGCATTTCTTTTCTTGGGTGCCGGTTTTCATGTGTACGAAGAGTACGGTCAACACGCTTAGTAAAATAAGATGTACTGAATAAAGACAGAAGGCGAGTATTTTCCCAAGCGCATGGAATGTAGCGTTAGATTAAGTAGTTATGTATTGCCATAACGACTCACTCCTATACATGTAAACGCCGACCTAAAGGTTCGCTTGCCAGCGGAGTATACGCCATGAAACTTTTCTGGTAGTATTTGTGCTGTAGCCGCGTCTGACTGTTTAATAATTTCTTGCGGAAGATCTTCCTGAATCATTTTTCTTTGAAATCTGATTTGCTGGTTGATAATTCACGATTTTATCGTTAAAAAATCGCGATTTATCTAAATGACGTTTTAATGTCAGTGCTATTTATTATTTACAAAAAAACAAAACGCAAAATCTATATTGGATAGTAACATAAACGCACCCTGATAATTTATTAGTTCGCAACAATGAAAGTAGAACTGGTAGATCCTTTTAAATCAATTATTTTTTAGAAATTGGACATGAAACAGTTTTGCTGTTGGATCAAATTTTGTATGGCACTCACGTGTTATAAAATATAAGTCACTTGAGAACATTTTTTCTCAGCATGACTTATATGTAAGATAACACACTATTAGAATAAATAACTATTCATACCGTGCTGGCAACTGTTACTTTTGGGTCGGCATTTACATGTGTGGAAGTAAATCGCATAGGGATCTTATTAAGTCGGAGTGAGAGAAATGCGATCGATCGACGCGACGCGCGACGGTGTGCTGTTGCGGCGTTGCCGATACGCCTTTCCTTATCAAGTACAGTAAAATCGCTATCGCAAACCGCTTATTTTTAAAAACCTTTTTTTCAAGAGGTAACTAGATATAATCATTAGACATGTTTCTGATCATCTGAAATGGAATTATAAGGATATCGTTATGGTGTTATTTTTTTTATAACGAGAAAACGTCAGTAATCGCGATAATTTAAAAACTTAACTTTTTAACACAAAACAGGCCTAGAGGCCATAACTCAAGAACCACTTTAGATATTGAAACTTTTTTTATTTTCAAGATCGGATATTTTACAATATGTTTACATAAGAAAAATTCGATAAGGTTGTTTTTTCCATTCAAAAATTGTAAACAACTTTTTTTGTTTTTACTTTTAGAGCATAGCAATTTTCAGCAATCGTGTAATTTTTTTATTGATAAAGATTGTCACATACTGTCTACTAAGAAAATACAGCAGAATAATTAACAAAGTTCTTGAAAAAACTACAATCTATTATTTCTAATAGATTTCGAGATATCGATTTTTGAATTCAGAGTCCTAATAGCGCGACCACTGTCGAACACCCACTCAATTCCACTTATTTTTACCAAAAATGTAAGTGTTTCTAGCTTGCACTTAAAAAAATTCAAGCTATAGGGAAAATTACAACGACTCGTTAATAAATAAACAAATCAAGTATCACGAGACGTAATTAAATCGTGAAGCTGAAAGCATGACGTACATTTTTCCCTAGAACTTTAAGTACTGAGAGAGGTATTGATTGGGTCGACCGGTCAACTGCGACAAATCTGCTATATCCCTTTCCACGTCTCATAGCGATGTGCACAGTTTCTCGGTTTATTTCATACGTTTGGCAACGTGTTTACTGTCCTCTCTTTGTTCAGTACATTATAAAAGCATTGTACTCTTCTTACATACGGAAATCTCGACCCAAGACTAACCTTTGCCAGCCCTTAGTATATCTTTGATTAATTTTATATTATAATAATTTATATTTTTGTTTCTAGTAACAAAGTTTTGGGAATCACAAAGGGTTTGGAAGACTTAGGGGGTCTACAGTGGAACTTATTTGTATGCCTAGTTTTGGGATGGATTGGTATATATTTTATTATTAGAAAAGGGCTACACCAAAGTGGCAAGGTAAGAGAATTTTTTATACACTTAGTTATTATACAGGGTGGCGCCTCTCATACGCCGCGGAGGCTCCAAGGAGAACGACAGTTTGTATTGAAATGAAATGAGTTCTACAGGGTGTCCCCAAAAAAGTTACATATCAAAGTTATTTTTTTTGTAATGGAACACCCTATATATTAATTGATTTTTGGATTCTGGGAGGAAAATAAAGGTGAGTTTTATAAAAAAATATATGACTAAAATGTAAGGTTTTTGATATATTTAACATTTTCACCCTGTATAACTGTTCGGGTCAAATTTCAATTCGGTTTAACATACAATGGTTACTGTAATTAAATATCAGGCTATACAAGGTCAACTAAAATTTAGGTAGCTGTTATCGAAATTTAAAATTTACTCTTCATTTTCACAAAATGTGAAATATGTCAAAATCTTTAGATTTTAAGTATATGCTTCTTTAATAAAACTCACCTTTATTTTTTTCCTAGAATCTGAAAATCAATTAACATATAGGGTGTTCCATTAGAAAAAACACTACTTTGATGTGTAACTTTTTTTGGGTACACCCTGTATAATTCTATATATTTTTATAAAATACTTTCAGTTAACATACATACGCTGCTAAAATTTAATTTCAATATAAACTACCGTTCTCTTTGGAGCTTTCGCGGCGCATATGAGAGGCGCCACCCTGTACAGTGTGTCCCATTTTGGTTGAAATCATAGGGTATCTCCGTTATTAGTGAAGATAGAAGGGTGCAGTTTGCACAAACCTGTCCCACTTTTTCGTCAAACGGAAGATGCTGCAAACAAAATTTTCATAGCCCTCTTCATTTCTGAGCTACAGGGTCTTTTCAAAAATTTTGCAATTTGGGAGACCCCCTGTATCTCTGTTATTGTTACAGGTATCGAGAAGGCGAAAACTGCTTATTGTAGAACTTTTTACGTAGAAAAAAAGTTTTTCTGTTTTAAAAAGTAGTAAAATATTTTTGAAAATATGAACTAATGTTATGTTTTTTCAAATGGAACACCCTGTATATTTATAAATCACATGATCTGTCTTGCTACGAGCTTCTCAAAAATATATATCACTCTATATTTTCACTATTTACTGCAATATTTAAAATATATCATTTTCTTATTAGTAGGCCGTGATAAATAACAAAAAATCAAAATGGTATTTACTAAAATAATCATACACATATCAAAATTTATTTGGGATTGATATATTTTACCTCGTATTTTACTTTTGAAATAACTGTTACCACTGAAACTGTGAATATATTTTTCTTTTTTTTTATAGCGGGATGGGTTTGCAAATATCTAAATCTTGAATTATTAAAGCATTTTTCAGGTGTTCGACATTGTTGTAGTGCCCACGATATATTTCGTATTTCAAAAATCCCCAAAATCAGAAATCGAGAACGGCGAAATCCGGGAATGGAGGAGGCTTCAATATGCGTTCATTGGTTCCAATTCATTGATTTGAAAAATAATAATTTAACAGTATTCTAATATTTCCATAGTTATGAGGGGGAATGTTCCCCATCTTGCTGAAAGTATATTTCACGTAAATTAGCTAAAGGAATATCTAAAATTTCCGATACGATAGATTATTCTTACGATTATAGATTATTCTCTGATTCCAAGATTTACAAATAGCGGTAGAGAGTTAAGTTTCCCTAATATATAAAGAATTTATTAGCGGCTCCCAAAATAAAACAAGAGACAGATAGCAGTATACTTTTAATAATTCTTTAGTTTCTTTTATTATCAATCATGGCCTACTAATAAATATGATCTTTTGATAAAAACTTTTAAATATTGCAGTAAATAGTGAAAATAAATATAGAATGATTTATATTTTTGAGAAGCTTATGGCAAGACAGATCATATGATTTATAAATATACAGGGTGTTCCATTTAAAAAAACATAACTTTAGTTCATATTTTCAAAAATATTTTTTTGGTAGAAAAACAGACTAAGGCACTGTATTCTACGTAAAAAGTTCTACAATAAACAGTTTTCACCTTCTCGATAGCTTTAACAATAACGGAGATACAGGAGGTGTCCCAAATTGCAAATTTTTCAAAAAGACCCTGGAGCTCGGAAACGAAGAGGGCTATGAAAATTTTGTTTACGGCATCTTCCGTTTGACAAAAAAGTGAGACAGGTTTGTGCAAACCGCACCCTTCTATCTTCACTAATAACGGAGATACCGTATGATTTCAACCAAAATGGGACACCCTGTCTATAATTTTACATGAAAAAAACATAAAAATATTAAATAACACGTTCACTCTCCCTACTCTTCGCAGGTAATCTGGTTTTCCGCTCTCTTCCCCTACGTCATCCTGTTCATTATGCTGGTTCGCGCCGTCACGCTAGAGGGCGCCGGCGAGGCCTTTATTATTACGTGGTGCCCCGCTGGAGGCGCTGCTCACGCCGGGACCCTGGATGGACGGAGCCTCCCAGATATTCTTCGCCTACAGCATTGGATGTGGGGCTCTGCCCGCCTTGGGATCGTATAATAAGTTCCACCATAACGCTTACAAGTAAGTTTTTGAAATTGGGATGTTGTTGTGGGGGGATTAGGAGGGGTTTAGCTAGCGTACTGGGGAGTATGATATTATTAATTATTGGATAAATAAAACACCGCTTTATTTTATCAGTTAAATATTATACAAAGTGGTGTCCGAACCGTATTACGGAAACTTTGGCAGAATATTCTGCAGATAAAATAAGTAAAAAAGTTCGTATAAATGTATGTCCTAGAATGATTAGTTTCGGAGATTCAGGATGTAGAAATTTCATTTTTATTTCGATTTTTTACCAATTAATTTCTGAAGTTACGTCAATATTTGGATAAAAATTGGTGTCTGGGAGTTTTTTGACATGAGAAATTTGATTTCGATGTCAATATGACTCCCATTTGTAGGGGGCGCCACCTACATGTGTTTTAACTGTTTTGAAGAGTAAAAACTTTTCGTCCATACCTGTATAAAACTACTGAGTAAAAAAATTATATTATTTTTGTTTAGATTTTTTTAGTCAAAAATATCTTGAGAAAGGTTGATCGTAGCGATTTTTACTAAGAGACATTTTTTACGGAGAAAGCCGCGGAAATGTATATTTTTTCACTCATTAGTTTTATACAGGTACGGACAAAAAGTTATTACCTTTCAAAACAGTTAAAACACAAGTAGGAGTCATATTGACATCAAAATCAAATTTCTCATGTCAAAAAACTCCCAGACACCAATTTTCATCCAAATATTGATGTTATTCTTCAGAAATTATTTGGAAAAATTTGGAAAAAATCGAAATTAAAATGAAACTTCTACACCCTGTATCTCCCAAACTAAGCATTCTAGGTCATACATTTATAAGAACTTTTTTACTTAATTTTACCTGCAGAATATGTTGCCGAAGTTTTCGGAATACAGTTCGAACCACCCTGTATATTATAAACTAAAAATAATAATAATAAAACTAAAATTTCATAAATAAAAATTCGTTTTTCTTTTACTTATTGCATCAATCGTATACCAAAAGTTCGATGTAACAAACTCATAAATCAATCGACTGAATCTCCATAGCCCTGCGCTAGTCTTTTGTTATTTCCCATTCGCAGAACAACTGAAAGGACAAACCGAAACAATTGATCACCCCGTTTCTATTTCTCCAGAGTGACGTAGTCGGAAAACAAATGAAGATCGAGTACGAGCAAAATTGGACCTTGTAATCTCCAGGCGCAATAGCCACGTGCATGTTGTTTTTGTCTCTTGTTCTTTATCGATTATTATAGGGGTCTTTAGTTTAATATGAGAAAATAATGAAAGACTGCAGAGCTTACGAATATTTTTAATATACTTTTTTTTCAAACGTCCAAAAGTATTAATTTTTGCGACGTGATTGTGGGCGTGAGTTTTTGAAGTTATATATTATTTTTATATAACTTAACTTTATTATATTAATTTATATTGAATTATTTATTTAAATTAACATTAATATTAAATGAAAATGATTTTTTTTTGGTAGATTCAGAAATTGTAAAACCTTGTATGCCTCCAGATGATGTCTTTTTCGCAATCTCTATTTTATTGTTGATGGACTCTTCGATATATCCCATACAGGCACATCAAATCACATTTACGATGTGTTTACATTATTAGATGTAGACACAGGGTGACAAAATTCCCCCGATGTAAATATGCTACGTTTATACATAGTAGTTCAACACGTATGCACAAAGGTTAAACGTCCGCCTCACAATGTAGCCACAGTATAGCATTTACGTATACACAAAGTAAGAGATACACAGTGCTTGTGTATTACGTTTAAACTATGTTTACACATTGCAGTTGTGACTACCGCGTGTATACGTATGTATTTGGCTTCGTATATACATCTTGTGCTGGATGAAACTACTTCTTATGAACGAATTTAGGAAATAATACAAGTTTTGATGCCTAACGTTTCGTTCTTTTTAAGAAATATTTATTTAATGATACCAATTATATCTTTTTAGAGCGAAAATTAGGAAGGCAAAACTTTGTATTTTCCAAAACTATCATAATAATCATCGATCGTAAGTTCAAGAGAAGTAGCCTTAAAATTGTTCCATTTTTGTTTTGTATTAAATGTACCATTTTTCTTCCATAAAATGGATTAAGTGGTTCAAAAATAAAATTCTTATATTTCTTTATATCATGGAACGCAATAGCGCAAATAACACAATAATAATGAATTATGAACACGACTATAGTATATAATAATTTCAATATCCTAAGTTGAAAGAAAAAAGATCACCTTTCTGTTTTGTACTATCGTCCCTTTCTTCCGATGGCTCATCTCGTTGATATTTAGGAAGGTATCCATAAAATATATATTTTATTATCGGTCCTGGGATGAAAAAATATAAAATTCAATTTGATTTGATGATCCTTTTGTGTCACCTAAATCAGGAGAATGACAATGAGCATGTTAAGATGAAAAAAAACTTATTTATCAACACTTACCTACACGTTAGTCCAAGGAGTTTTATCAAAAACCTATATTTGCCTAAATAATTTATGTATTAAATTTACAAAGCAAACTGCAGCGTGTAAACATGGTGTAAACAAAAGAAATAAAATGGCGACAAGTCAACGTCAACGACCCGACAAGGAGAAAAGTGGTGTTCGAATAACAAATTATGGGTCAACAAAAATTGTTTTTGTCTCCTTTCAACGCACACTTTAGAAAGAAAAAGAGATGAACTGCTATACTGAAAGAATGTCAAAGTTTTATCTGTCACTCTTGTCAATAATTTATCGGTAAGGAAGATTCCTAGAAAATCGCTTGTAGTCAAGTTTTCAACCATTGCCAGTTTTCCCATAAGAAGTGTCACCCACCTGCATATACCACTCCTAGAAAGGAGAAAGGAGAGAGGACACATAAGATACACTTGGTCGGTGTATCTACGCTGAGGCTAGCCGCGCATGCGCACACCTTCATTTCATACTGGAATGTAGACACAACAGTATACTATTACAAAGTGCCTATATAGATATTTATATTATGTGTATACGTCACATTTTTACAAGGTGTGTACTATAGGCACAACTATGATACGAAGTATCACACATACATATGACTTATACATTGTATGTCTCATATACCTGTCTTACGTTTTTTTTAAAATCGGTCGAGTCGTTGAGAAAATATGAAGGATTGAAATTTGAAAAGTTTATTTAAACATTTATCAGAGTAAATGATAAGGATAAATTCCTTCGACCAGTTTGCTGTTTTTTCTTATTATTTCTAGATGTTTACGCATTTTTCACTTGCCACAAGGTCGAACGATCAGGTGCGGTCTCAATATCGTTAAACTGACACACAATAGAATTTCCAAAAATACCAGTCCGCGACGATCAAAATCGTCTTCGTTGAGTTCTTGTACCAATTGAATTTTGTACGGGTACAACTTGTGTTTTTTTAATATCCTTTGGACACTTGTACGATTTACGCCGCGCCGGTCTCATTGGCTAATTTTCTTGTACTCAGCGTACTATCCATGGCAACTTGGCCCAATACGAATACCTCCATAGCTTCATTTACTACAGGATATTCCCTCTGCCTCTTTTTATTCATAACGGAACCAGTTTCGCGAAGTTTTGCTACTAACTCGCGAACAATTTTGCCATAAAGGTGTTTGTCAGGATGGCGTTCATTGGAATATCTACGCAACCCGATTGCCACATTCATTATTTTTACTTTTATTTCTACTTTTTCAGCAAATGAGTACACCATACACCATAATTGTTAAAAAGTTTAACGATATTGAGAAGAACTTTATGGCACAAGTCACAGAACAGCTATCTAGCAACTACCGTACCTGATCGTTCAACCTCGGCAAGTGAAAAAATGCGTAAACATCTAGAAATAATAAGAAAAAACCTCAAATTGGTAGAAGGAATTTATCCTTATCATTTACTCTGATAAATGTTTAAATAAACTTTTCAAATTTCAATCATTCATATTTTCTCAATGACTCGACCGATTTTCAAAAACGAAGCGGGAAAATATAGAGATGAGAAAGCTCTTTTCATTGCGGTGCCACTTGACCCCCCTTCCCATTCGAAAAAAGTTGGGGGATGACACTCCCACTTAGATGGTTGAAGATTTTGCAATCATTTTTGGGGCAAAAGTTGTCCGCCTCACAAACAAAATTGACGTGTTAAATTACCCTGGCCGTTATGCCTTGCGGAACGTTTTCGATGGGCCACCCTAAAGGTGCGTATTCATTATCCGCACGAACGAACGAACGAATGTTCGCTAGTGGTATGGACGGGGACCGCACGATAGAACCGCACGAGAAGACTGCACGCATTTCTTCATTCGCGCGCCAGTTCAAATCGTCAAGATATTGTTATAAACCTGTTTTTTTTTTGTTTATATACCGTCATTGAATTATCGCTAAGCAAGTTACTATGGAGCAGTGCATAAGGAGTCGGGCTAGGAAGCGAGAGACCGGAGTTCGAATCTCGGCCGGAACATCGCTTTTATTTTTTTTAAATACTGTTGTATTCTATAGTTTATTTTTGTAGTATAAGAAAAAAGAACTATTTATTCTGTTATTTTTTAATCTCCGTTATTAATATAAATTGATTGTTAGTACAATACCTCATTTAATATAAAATAATATTCTACTTTTTGAAATGTATCGGGCCCTAATTGTACCTAAAAGTAATATATTTTTAGTGATATACCATATTGTAAACTATTTAATGACTGATTTAGTGACAGCCAGGGCGGCACGATTGAAATGGAGCTTTGCAGGACATACAGTTAGACAATCCGACAATAGATGGAACACGGTAATTCAGCGATGGAGGCCATACTTAGGACAGCGAATGAGAGGACGCCCTCAAATGAGATGGTACGATGATTTCAAAAGAATGGCAGGACTACATTGGACACGCACAGCACAGAACAGAGATCGGTGGCGAGAATTGGGAGAGGCCTATGTCCAAAGTTGGACGACAAACGGCTAATGATGATGATGAAACTATTTAATATTTCAGTCGCTTAAAAAGTTAATTTGCATTGAATAATTGCCTACCATTAAAGGAAATTTGAGCTATATAACCCATGATGGGCATATTCTGGATATGCAAATACTTCCTTTAAATTTTGGGTGTGGTTCAACCGATTTATTCTCAAAACCAGAAACATCTACATATAAAAAGAAGCAGAGGTCACTAATTATAATAAACTTCACCCTTGGTATTACTTCCACTAATTATAATAAACTTCACCCTTAGAATTACTTCTATCACAATTACAATACGTTCATCTGCATTGGCATTTTCTACTTTTCGATGGGAAACAATAAACTTCCCAATATTTTTTAAATGATGTAACAATTCCTCTTGTGGTTACTTTTCCATAGATATCCTCAACTCTGTCCTCATGTGAATTCAGAGGCAATGAAAATGAAAATTATTTACCATAAACATCGCAAACTAAAAACCTAATAAACAATTTTATACCAATATAGAAATAAATTTAGTATTTTTACCTATTATCGTCCAAATCCATGTTAATATATAATTATTATTCTTAAATATATTTTTGGAACTGCTGGTTTTAGTAATTATTAAATTAAACGAACTAAAAAGTCTTAAAAATAAAAAATTCTTAACCATAACCTCAAAAATGCAGATCTCCTGTCAACTTTCTTTATTTTTTATTTATTCCTCATTTTCCTAGTGACGTCACAGGTGGTATGCGCGAACTGAACGAAATTGGAGCCGCTATCGATCATACCGTGTATTCTTTGTACCATGACGTCTAAACGCCTTTGATGTACCGACTCGAAGCGGATGGTCGAGCGCACGAACGAACGAACGGCCGCATGCGTTCGGTCCCCGTCTAAATATACCGCACTTTCATTCGTTCGTTCGTTCGTTCCGGATAATGAATACGCACCTTAAATCTGAAAGCGCACGCAGGCGAACGCCTTTGATGTACCGACTCGAAGCGGATGGTCGAGCGCACGACCGAACGAACGGCCGCATGCGTTCGGTCCCCGTCTAAATATACCGCACTTTCATTCGTTCGTTCGTTCGTTCGTTCGTTCGGATAATGAATACGCACCTTAAGAAAACACACTAGTACCATAAATAACTATTTGTACCTCGTCACAAAAAATACCATTTTTACTCCCAATAAAACAATATATACTATTAATTTTTAATTGTTTTACAGAGATGCTGTCATCACCTGCATAGTAAACACCTTAACCTCAGTGCTAGCTGGCGTTGTGACGTTCTCGATCCTAGGTCACTTGGCACACGAACAAAATGCCGACGTGAGTGACGTGGTCAACAGCGGTCCAGGCCTGGTGTTCTTGACCTATCCGGAGGTCGTCCTAAAATTACCGGGGGCGTCGTTTTGGGCCGCCACATTCTTCATCATGTTACTGGTAAGTATACTGGGTCGTCCCAAAATAGGTTAGCTTGTTTTGTTGTTTATTTAAGAGCCCATTTCACTAGTCCGAAGAAGTTGCAAAATAGGCGGTCGGTATTTAACGTTTTATGTAAAACTGGCTAGGTATTTTTACACAAATGAAGAAAATTAAAGATAAAGGATTATACTATGTCCGTATTGTAGCAAATTTTTAGAAAACTTCTTTGTTTTTAAGATTTTGATGGTCAAACATAAACAAAATATTCCTTATGTTTGGACTAAATTTTCTCGAAAATAAATACATAATTTAAAATTCCGTTTCAATTTACGGAAATAGATTGAAGTTTTGTAATTACAGTGATATATAATTTATATGGTTTTGTAACAAATTGCTTGCTATTTTATGGCAAATGCTGAAGCTCTGCAAACCTTAATCAAGCCTTAATCAAAGCACGTGTGTTTGGAATTTTGGGTGTGGCTTAACACGACAGAGTCGGGCTAAGCCTTAGTGTGCGAACACAGTGTAAGCAGGTTTGCTGGTAGTCAGCGCCAATCTGGGCACCTATTCTTGACATCGTTCGCAACTTTGCGTATACGCATCACGTGTATTTTTATAAACAGGGTATCCCAGAAATAAGTGCAAGTATTTTAAAGGGTGGTAGATCTCGATAAAAGAAACATATTTTCTCTTTATCGTTTTTCAAATAAGTCCAAAATAATGGAGTTATTTTACTTTGAAATTTTCCAAAAAAAATGATTTTTTGCTCAAATTTTGAGAACCTTCTTCATGTGCCTTCTCCTCATCGGAGGTTGGCGACCATCAATTGGAATTCCTCCCTGTCTGAGCCAAACGGATAATTGCACTTGCCTCTCCTATATTAAACCACTGGTGCAAATTCCGCAAGCAGGAAAACCGTTTACGCCCGATGCCTCGTCGTCCTTCAATCTTTCCCTCAACGATCAGCTGTAAGAAACTATATTTGTTATTTCGAAAAATATGACCAAAATATGCTGCTTTCCATCGTTTTATTGTAGTCAATAGTTCTTGGTCCTTACATATTCTTTCCAATACTTCGATATTTGTTTGAGAACCACTGGATCTTTTCTGGATTTTCTTTCTTATAAATTTAATCTACTACCTATGTTGCCATATTATCAAGAAATTATTTTTTGAAATAAAAACTAAAAAAAAATTGCAAAAAAATTTCAAAAATATTTTCAAAAAATTCCGAATTTTCAAAAAAAATATTTAGAAAAAAACCTCATAGGCGTGTTTCTGGGGTTGAACTATACTACCAGTTAAGTTAAAATACTTGCACGTATTTCTGGGACACCCTGTATATGGTTACATAGTAGCGCCGCGCCGCGCCGCCTTGCGCTTATAACCTTGAGAAATTAAAGCGTGTTATCAAATCGGTTAGTTCACAGTAAAAGCAGGTAGGAGCCGTCAACCAGCGTTCGTCGGCGTTCTCGCTTTTACCGGAACGAAAATGTATTTATTTCTGCTTTGGCAGGCGCCGACGGCGCACAGAGGGTGTTAAGAACTAAAAGTTGGCCAAAATTATGTTTTATGATTTTTTTGCTTTTTTGCTAGTAATATTAATTATTAGAGGACAGGGTGCTAATATGGAACCTCATTTTGTTTTTCCTACACAATATTTTTTCCTCTACTCTGAAACCCTCCGATCAAATAAGGCCACGATCAAATAAGGCCATTCTGTGCAAAACCAAGCAATTGGATGAGGATGCTAGAACAAGAAAGTAATTTGTATATTATAGACGATATTTGAGCGAGGATGGGTGTTATAGGGTAAAGACTATTTCCTTTAAGAATCTATTTAAATCAATGTTTTTTTGGCAGTGGCAAATATTGGCAAGATTTTTGTACATATTCCAAAGCTGGAGACTTTAAGCATTGAACGGATGCTAATTTCCATGCGGAATATTGCCGAATAGTCTTACACCTTATAAAAATGCCTCTGATTTTTTAAATATAAAACATTATAAAGAAATAGAATAGAAGGAAACGTTTCAAAATAAAAATATGGCAAAAAACATTGCTTTGCAAGACTTGCCAGCTGGCTCTGTATCCATCATGACAGTTATTATAAACAATTTGCAAAAAAAGCACTACAAACAATTCCACTATTTTATAATCTTAGAAATATTCAGAATACACTCAAGATAATTCAGACTTATAATTGAAATATATTATTTATTTGATAGTCAACTTACGACTTAAAAAAAGCTAATAAACGTGCTTGCATTTAGTATTTATAGATTTGTATTCAGTTAAGATAAAAAATGAAAATAAAAAAATATCACTTTTGGCCAGGTTTATAGACCAAATACCCCTATGTGCGTACCCCGGCGCGTGGGCGCGGCGTTTCAATATGGTTAGGTTAGGTTAGGTTAGTTAATCAGATAAATTTCCTCTTAATTAGCTACTTCCGAACCCTGCTCGCATCTCCGAAAAAGCCATATAACAATACACGTGATGCATATACGCAAAGTTACGCATCACGTGTATTGTTATATGGCTTTTTCGGAGATGCGAGATGTGAGCGATATTTGAAGATGCGAGTGATCAACAATAGGTGCCCAGAGACAGGCTGCCGGAAAGCAGAAACCTGCCTCCACTATGTTCGTACCCTTAGGCAGATTTCTGAAATATAATATATATTTCCTTAGGCCACACGCCTGCTTTACCCAACCCTTAAGAGCGACCCGAATAACACAGCCTAATAGACTCTCTAGTTGGATTTTTTTGTAGGTACTTGGTATCGACAGTGCCTTTTGCTTGGTGGAGTCTTTCATTACTGGATTTATGGATAATTGGTCAACTTTTTTGAGGCCTCACCGAGTGATGTTCACAACGATTGTTTGCGTCATCATGTTCTTATTGGGAATTCCTATGGTAACCCAGGTAAAACATATTATTTTTATTTGTACGTTAAGTATTAATATGGATAATTATTGTATGATAGGTTTTTTCGTCTGTTCAAAAAAATCAAGTACTACAATTTAACTTAAATATTTTAAATAAAATTATGGCGAACATAAACATATTTTTTATTTTTATTAAATGACAAGTGAAAAAATTAAATAAAAATGATTTTAAATACTTTTTCATAGAGGCTTTTCATTTAGGGTGGTATGTATGTCTTCCAACTGATGGATTACTACTCAGCGAGCGGAATGTCTTTACTGTGGGTGTGTTTCTTCCAAACCGTAGCCATTTCATGGTCCTTTGGTGTTGATAAGCTGTGCGACTGTATAGAACAGATGATGGGTCACAGACCTAACTTGTTCTGGAGGATATGTTGGAAATACTGTGCTCCAATCGTTATAGCGGTAAGTATTGAGTTATTAATAGAGGATTTATTTATTTAGCGTATGGCTTACATGGATTTGACTACAAATTTACAGTTCATACCAAATAAGCTTTTAGTGACGTGATTAAGCTTGACCGGTACAGCGTTGCCCACTTTTACGTATTTTCATTTAATCCAAATATTTTAGGAACCAAAAATAAATTGCTTATAAATATATAAACAGTTGATTTACATCAACAAAATTCACCTTCTAACATCACTTAAGGGACATAAGGAGCTTATTACTACCGCTTTAGGTCATGACTGGTAGTACATATTGGTTTTTAGATAACGGAGGAGAGAAATCTAAACGGTACCGTTTTGCACAAAGGGTAAAACTCCACCAAATTTTTCGGAGAGTATTAATAAAGTATTAGGAATTTTTAAACCATGAAGTTCGAATTTTGATCAGCATCGAATTTTGCAAAATTGCTTCCATTTAACCGACCTGGTATGTTTTCTTTTGGGACACTCTCTACATGAGGAATGAAAATACATAACTCTTTTTTTATTTCCATTACTTTTTTACGATAAATTGTAATTTTAAATAAAGATGTCATCTGCCTCTTCAAGCGATTGAAAAGAAACTAGATTTCATAAAGACAAACATTTATATAAAGTCGTATAAATATAGAATAACAAAGGAACAGAAAGATGTATTTCATGTCTTTTCTTTTGTCTTCTCTTTAGCAAAGTCGTGCATGCGGAAAGCCAATGTTAGAGTTAAATTGGATATTAGTTCTGCCATCGATAGTAGAACATGTATATTTTTGTGTCCTTTTATTTTATTTTATTCTTTCACTTTGAATCTTTGTTTACCAGAGATGGAGTATTGTGTAACATTATTATTTTATCGTAAAATAGGTTTATAAAATGATACTTGTTTTTTATACAATAAAGCAGTTCTCAAAATGAGCTTAGCAAAATCTAAAGTAATGTAGAGAGAAAAGACATCCTAATAAACAACACTGGAAATAGTAGAAGAATATCTACCAACCAAGTATCCGGAATTTTATATTTTTTCTAATTTCAATGTATTCTGATCCTATTCTGAGCTGTCTGTTTGATCTCTCCCCATGTTTTCCCGACCTCTTGGGTTTCAGAGATTACTGTTCTTCTCCAGGTATTCCTTGGTCTTCCCCTGGCACGTCTTCCCTGTGGATTCCATTCAAGTGCCTGTCTAGCGATATCTCTGTGGGGTCTGCGCAAAATGTGCCCAATCCAGCCCCACTTTCTTTTCTTAATTTCGATATCTATTCGATTTTGTGATGTTCTTCTCCACAGTTCTTCGTTGTTAATTTGATTGGGCCAGAAAATTCTCAATATTCTTCGAAGACACTTGTTAACAAACACCTGTAGGCGATCCATGAGACCACGCGTAACCTTCCATGTTTCGCATCCATAAAGCAAAATAGATTTGACATTGCTATTGAAGAGCTGGACTTTAGTTTTTTTGCTATATATAGAGGAGTTCCACACAGGTGTAAGCATGCCAAAAGCTCTTTGTGCCTTCAAAATCCTTTCCTCTATATCTTTCTCTGTGCCCCAAAGCTGTGAACCATACTTCCCAGGTACTGAAATTCATCAACTCTTTCGATGGCTCGGTTGGAGAGGTATAGATCTTGGTTGTTGGGAGTATTTGACCTCATTTCTTTGGTTTTCGCCACGTTGATTTGAAGACCGACATTATTAGCTTCCTCTTGGAGTCTAAAAAGTTTTTGAGACATATCCGAGTGTGAATGGGAAAAGATGCATAGATCGTCTGCGTAATCCAGGTCTTCTAGCTTCCCCATTGTATCCCTAGTGGTTCTTTAAATGCTCTATTTAGTGCTACATCCAGAACGATGTTAAAGAGTAGCGGCGAAAGTATACAGCCTTGTTTTACACCTACTGCAATAGAAATTTTCTCCCCCACTTAACCTTTATGTAAGACACAGCTTGTAGCATCATGATAAAGCATTTTAATCATGCGGATTATTTTTTCGGGTATTCCTTTTTCTCTCAAAGCTTTCCAGATGGCTATGTATTTTATAGTATCGAATGCTCTTTGAAAATCCACGAACACCATGTATAATGGCGATCTGAACTCTTGAGATTGCTCTATTATTATTCTGAGAGTATTAATTTGGTCGATACATTATCTTTGAGGCCTAAAGCCTGCTTGTTCTTTTCTCAGAGTCGGTTCAAGGGCATCTGATATTCTTTTTTGGATGACTGTAGCAATTATCTTGTTAATGGTGTTAAGTAAGGTAATGCCTCGCCAGTTCTTACACTGGGATAAGTCGCCCTTCTTAGGGAGTTTTACAATAAGTCCTTCTTTCCACGTTGACGGGATATATTCTGTTTCCCAACTGATTTTTATTATTGTCTCTAGTAGCTGTGCAATCTTTTCTGGGTGTATCTTAAATAGTTCAGCGGGTATATTATCAGGACCTGCCGCTTTGCCAGTTTTAAGCTGTGATAATGCTTGCTTTATTTCTTGAATCGATGGAGCACGTGTTGCGATTCTAGATTTGCAGTTCTCTGTTGAAGACGTTGGTACCTCATCAATATCATTTGTTACCTGTTGAGGCTCACTAAAAAATTCCGTCCATCTGTGCAGCTGATCCTCTTTTGAGGTCAGTATATTTCCTTCTTTATCTTTCACTATAGGACATTCCCTATTAATGTTTTTATTGGCAAGCGTTTTAGTAGTGCGATAAAGTGTCCTGGAATCATTTATTTCAGCTGCCATTTGAGCTTTTTCTGCAAGTTCTTCTGTCCACAAGCGTTTATCTCTTCTTGCTGATCTCTTCACTTCAACATTATGGTGTGGACCTAGTTTCAGGTGTACCTGGACGTTTAGCTCAGTGTTTGGAGTTAAATTGAGGTTGTATAAGTAAATAAAATTAATAATTTGTTATAATTATTTTAACTCAAGTTCTAAAAATATATATCGATAATTGTAATTTTGCTTTCTTGTTTCCGGATACTTTCTAGACGGACTATAATTCTGACCACTCCATGTATGACATTTTTGTGGCACTAGTATTATTGATATCAAAAAAAAAATTTTTATTTTGTTCTTGTTTTAATGACTGAGTTTAGAATATTTAACCTGCACAGGAAGACTTAACAAGTTACGCTTCCTTAAAACGTATCTTACCTGTGATTTGAAAGTTTCTTCCGAACTGAAAACTCGTCGGAAGTTAAATTAAAAGTTAAATTTGTTACTTAGGAAAATTGAATTTCGCGCGGAGCGCACTGCCGAGATTGAGTTCAGCCTCAATATTTGATTTACCTTTCCAAAGTTAAAGGTATTATTTTAAATCCAGGAAGAAAGAAGGTTAGGGACTGTTTTTCTTTAAATTTGAAGATATTCTTCCTTCGAAGTACACAATACAAAAATAAACAAACAGAAAAAGTAAAGTTTTTAAAAATTTAGTTTAAGATGTCTATTATACCTATGTGGCGGATTCATCTCTCCAAAAACACCTATATGGGTATTTCGCCACTTCAAGAAAATCTACAAAATAAAATAGTTATTTTTTGTAACACTGCTGCTTTAATCCAACGGAGACTAACTTGTCAGCAGTGGCTTACAAATGAAAAAATTTGCCTAACGGATAAAAAAATGCTTAACGTTTCGGAAAGTTTATTTCTTTCCGTCGTCGGAAGCAAAAAAATGCAAAAAATACAGAAATTTATCTATTTATTTATTTATCGTATGGCTATACATGCAAGAAAAGAAAGACTTTTAAACATAGAGATAAAATAAACTACAATGTAAATGAAAACATTACAATATAAATAAAATAAAACAAGTAGGTATATGATAAAACGACAATATAAAAAACGTATTTAAGAACACTATATATTGACATCTAGATGCCCTATTCATTCCAAAGCTGCTGGAGAAGCCTCCAGAAAGTCCCCCTAGACTTCACCATAAGCGCGTAGGTTGCACTCTTTAGTTATGTGGTGGACGGTTTGGTGAGGGGATCCGCAATCACATTCTGGGGAAGGTATTTTATCCCACTTATAAAGGAAATCCACGCACATCTTCCATAGCCAATCCTATTCAAAGTTGACCATGTTTTCCGGTTTAGATCGGTACCTGGTATCTGGCAATAGTTATTTTCGAACCAGGAGTATAGGTGTGCATCGGCCATTTCTATCCATAACTATCCATAACTGAAGCCACTGTTTTCGAGAATTGTAGTTACTGCTTTTTAGCTGTTCAGCTGTTCGCAAAGGTGGGTTTCTCGACTTCAGTCTATTCACCTGTAAAGCAATATTTAGTATAATTTTATTAGCATAGAAACGAGCAAAAAACACAGATTTGTTGCGAAACTAATGAAAACAATTGGTTTGTTTACGACTACTAATTCTGGACCACTTCGGTAGAACTGTCAAAACAGTCAGGCCTTGAATATGACGGTAGACAACATAACCTTCCCTCCTCGGTATGTAATATACTATTAATACCCTCAAACTCAAATTGATTTTGTTTTACATCATATACCTACTATTGAATTATATTAATTTATAACCTTCTGGGATTGGCAATACATTTATTTACGGCATACATAATTTAAGTAGCAGGGTTATAAAAATTTTAACTGCTTTAATATTGCTTTAATATTAAATTCACTGCTGGCCCAGTGAATATATTAATGAAAATGCCAGTCCGTCAGTGTTTACTAGCCAGAAATGGCGTTCGTTAAGCTAAACTAACTAAAAGCCAATGTCTGTATAATTTATGTTATTAAATGTCAGTTTACCAGGTCGCTCTAATATTCTATTAAGTCTCTATGGTCTCTAAACGTCATCGATATTAGAGATGTATGTACAGGGTGGCTCGAATTCGTCGCTCATCATTGGGATTTCGGATACAGGATCGGTCAAATGGAGGCAAAGTTGCGCAATTTGATGCTCAATAAAATGCCGTATTGCATTTTTATTTTTTTTGCATAAAATATTTTGGTGATGGAATTTTCTGTACGAAACGTCGGCAAATATCAAAGTGACTATATATAGTGTTTTAAGAGTGATGAAAGGATTTAGGCAGAAAAAGTGGTCATAAAAATGTGTTTTTCATTTTAAGTTATCTTAACAAATAAAGCCAGGAAACAATAGAAAACAAAATTGAAAATTCCGTTTTTTTTTCGAATATATTCGGAAGTATTCGAAATTTTCAAAATGCAATACGGCATTTTATTGAGCATCAAATTGCGCAACTTTGTCTCCATTTAACCGATCCTGTATCTCTTACGGTTTCCGAAATCCCAATGATGAGCGTCGAATTCGAGCCACCCTGTACAGGGTGGGTCAAATTCGACGCTTTTAAATGGAAACACCCTTTTCTATAGGAGATAGACAAAAACTAATATCGATGTCTGGAGCTCAATTTTTGTCAGAAACATGATGGTGAAAACCGCATATCGATATCTGTTACCGTTTTGGAGTTACGGAGTGTTTTTCAAAAATATGCTTTATTAACAAATCGCTGTAACTTCTTTGCTATGGAAAATTTTGTATTTTCATGAAAACATTTCCAAAGCACCTTTTTACGTAGAATTTAATAGTATAAGTATAATTTTTTTAAAATTAATAATTTAAAAATTATCAACAGAAAATTTGATTTTTTATATGGGACACCCTGTATATTTTTAATTTATTGAAAAGAATTTAAAATTATCTTTCCAAAAATATAACACACTTGATATTTTGCTCGATTCCTCTTCGGGATATAGAGTATATAAAAATTCGCCTGCTTTACATAAGTAGGCTTTGAACGGCACCGACTGTAATGCAAAAAAACTCTAGCTATGAGCATCAATTTTTATAACAATTTAAAATATATTTAACTAACATCAACACATTTAAACTATATCTAATAACAATAAAAATAAATAGCAAACCAAGACATGATATTTGGCTACAGGTGTTCGACATATCGACCGTCTTCTGTTATGGATAGACGGGGCAGTTTTTGAACAATTCTCGCGGAATTCATTAACTCAGTGGGGGTGAAAGATACCCTCTCATAACTGCTAAGTATTTCTAATTCTTGTTTATATTATATGGAAGAATAAGGAACCTTTATTCTTCCACAAATATATCCATAGGATTAGATTCATGGGCACTAAGTCATGCGGCCTCGACGGCCAACGGCTGGAATCTTGGTTAGCTATTCAATTATTCTTGAAATTGGCTGCAAAAATTTGCTGATAACTTCAACGTTTAGAGGCGGTGCGTCGTCTTGCTGGAAAAATATGTTTTCGAGTTCCATTAAGGACATATCATCAATAAGGAGTCCAAAGCCTACTAGTTAAAAGTGGCAAACTTTTAAAAATTCTGTATTTCGAAGGGGATTATAACAAAATATCAAGTGTGCTATATTTTTGGAAAGGTAATTTTAAATTCTTTGCAGTTAATTAAAAATATAGAGGGTGTCCTAAATAAAAAATCAATTTTTCTGTTGATAACTCTAAAATTATTAATTTTAAAAAAATTATACTTGAACCATTAAATTCTACGTAAAAAGGTGCTTTGGAAATGTTTTCATAGAAATACAAAATTTTCCATAGCAAAAAAGTTACAGCGATTTGTTAAAAATGCACATTTTTGAAAAACACCCCGTAACTCCGAAACGGTAACAGATATTGATGTGCGGTTTTCACCATCATGTTTTTGATGAAAATTGAGCTTCAGACACCGATATTAGTTTTCGTCTATCTCCTATAGAAAAGGGTGTTTCCATTTAAAAGCGTCAAATTTGACACACCCTGTACATACACCGGGTAGCCAACTAAGAATAGATGCCGGCTGTATCTCACAAACTACTTATCGTATATTTTCGAGAAAAAATTGTAATATGTGAATCGGTCAAGGGATATCTCTGGAAATTATTTGCAAGTTTGAGAAATGGCCGCTAGGTGACGCATCTGTTATGACCTGAAGTTGTGGGTGAAGAAATATTTTAAATATTACTATTTATAGTAAAATAGTTATTTTTTATATATATATATTAGTCGGTTTAGAACGTTTTTCTACGTAGTCCGATACCCAATTTCCAGCCTGTTCTATTCGTACAATCCTCTGTTGACAGGTTTCTTTCACTCATCGCTTTGTGTACGCTTTTTTGCCATCCCAGTTTTGGTCTTCCCTGTTTTCTTCTGCCCTTTGGTTGCCAATTGATTATTTTCTTGGGCCATCTAGTGTCCTTCATTCGCTCTACATGTCCGTACCAGATCAGCTGCTTTTTCTCTATATCCTGTGTTATCGTACCTTCTATACCCATTTGTTGTTTTATGGTATTATTTCTTTAAGTTATTTTTTATACAGACGACCGAAAAGAATTCGGGATACGATAATGCAATTTTATCGTCGTGTATAAAACAATATTTTTTCCATAGCGAGTTACGTTTTAAAAAATATTCAGACATTATTATTTCAAGGAATTTATTACGAGTAGAAAAAATATTGTGCTGGGTTGGCCTTGGTTTCTATGTAATTTGACAAATAAATAAAGCTGTCTCTTTAGTTGTCAGTTTTGAGTCAATATTTTTTAATTCTCTTTCATGTCGATGGCTGATTGAATTAGGGCCAGAAATGGCTCAAAACGAAATAAGTAAATTACCAACAGATATTCGCCATATCCAAACTACTTCCATTTAAATCCCGAATAACTTATGAAAAGGAATAGAACATTTTTCAAAATGGAAGCAATTAAAAAACGTGCGAGAAGAAATAAAGTTTTTAACCTATCCTTCTTTTTAATAGATATCAGGCAATTTTAACAGTTTCTATGGAAAAAAAATAATTTCCTTGGCTGGGGTATTTTGCTCTATCTCGTAATAACAATAGGTATTTTACATAGAATACTTTGCTATAGTCTATAAAATGAATAACTTTGAATTTTGACCGTTATTTTTTACCAACATGACAAATATATAATCCCTCTGTCAAAAAAGTTACTGATATTCTTTAAGTATTCTTTAAATTGAGTGCCTGAACGAATCAGATAGGTAACTCTTTTTACTTTCGTGAAATAGAAAAGGAAAATAATAAAACAAGTGACAGTTCTTCCTCTTCTTGCAAAAATCAACACGAAATCGCATAATTGTCAAAAGTAAAATGTCATCAGCTTTTGACATTTCTAAATATCAGACCAATGCCGTCTCTAATAGAACAGCCTCGGAGCGAGAATTATGACGTCACGCTAATTAGATACGGATTGTTGTAGTAGGATGTTGTAGAATACATGGAAAACATAATTATTCCTCGTATTTTTGGTTTGTATTTTAAAAATGATATAGTTTACATAAAATATACAGTTAATAAATATAATATATACCTATTTATAATAATAAATACTTTGGCAAATATACTATGAACGATACAAATGCAGCAAATGTTTTATAATATACAAATAATGAATAGGTAGGTACATAAGATAATGGGGAAAATGTAAAATATATTTTAAATTTCGAGGTTTGAAAATCGACCAAATTTAACAAAAAACATTTAATATCTACTAATAGTGATGTATTATTATTTGCATTCACAAAATTTATATGTACATATATTTTGCAAGTATCAATGTTCGAAAAATTATATTTGCAATAATACAATATCATAGAAAAATGCGTCAGCGATGGCTATGAAATAAAGATCGCTGTCATTTTATAATGTAAAATTATTCTATAAAATTTTTGATTTTCTTGGGATTTAGGTTCGGGAAAAACGCTGATTAAGTTTTCATTTGGTTTTTCATTATTTTTTTGGTTTAAAAAAACGTTTCGGCTAACATTATAGCCTTCATCAGTGTTGTGTCATATAAAAAAATAGTGTCGAATATAATCCAAAAAATTGCATATAAAATATTCACACCACAAACCACATAATGTTTACTGCAATTAATAAACTAATATAAACTTTTCAAAAGATGACCACATATTTTTTTAAATTATTATTCTTAACACTAAAACTATCTACATTGACTATGGAGTACGATTTCAGTCATAGTCAAATATAAGGAATAATTATGTTAGCGTGACGTCATAAATCTCGCTCCGAGTCTGTTCTACTAGAGACGGCATTGCGTCATCATGGCTGCAAGTTGCTAACCTAATAAAATTAACACTAGAAAAGCCCGCGGGAACTGTCAAATTCAAAGTTATTCGTTTCACATACTATATTAATTCAATACTATAAGCACATATATTTTTTAATTTTATTTATTTAAAGCTAATCTTATGATTAACAAAAAAACAATCAGTATCAACCTCTCTATCTTTGTTTCAGATAATATTTGTGGGCCATATTTTGGAATACCAAACTCTCACTTATGGAGATTACAAGTATCCGTTGTGGGCGAATATTGTTGGAATGTGCATTAGTTTTTCTTCCATGATTTGGATACCGATCTATGCTTTGTATTACGTCTTGACAGAACCAAATTCTATATTACAGGTGAGCTATAAAAATACTAAAAATAAAATAAATGTAAATAAAATAAATATATCAAAAAAGAAAACTTAAATTGAGTAAAAGATGTTTTGGTATAACCCTTTGAAAAATAAATATTTTAAAATACATTTTATTTTGTTTTCAGAACCTGAAAAACGGACTGGTACCTCTAATCAAACAGAGGAAAATATCAATGTGTGATAAGAACACTGGCCAGGTGTTCACTCAGAGCAGCGTGGGACTGATAACACCAGCGCCATCTTTTATCCAAAGTGACAATGACAAACAAAACGCCGAGTGTTAACATTAGTTTAATTTAAAATTTAAATAATAGAGATATAGATTTGAAATAACTATTTTTAGAATTTTAGAAAGGAATCTGAAATATTTGTGCTTCATATACTTAGGTACTTTTTGCACAACCTCTGTAAAGAAAAGAAATATATTATACAGAGTAGTACAGATTTTTGTAAGAGGATTCTTAGCGTCAATAGGTAGTTATCTTGACTTGCTACAAGAAACTGTGCCACCCTGTATACTATAAAGAATCTAGGAAATAAATTAATTAGATTATACAAAATAAAACGACATCATTTTGAATCATTCCAAAGTTATGTTCCAGTACTAGAATACCAAGATTAACTAACTTATTTTTATTTTCAATTAACAAAATAAAAACTAAATATTTTAATTTTAATAGCAATTAGATCATGACAAATTTTAAATAGAGTAATTATTCATTGTTACTTATATCCTAAGTTTTCTACAGGGTCTATTTGATTAAAATACCCTTCATTTAATGGTAGAATGAAGGGAATACATACTATGTATTGTTTTAATATACTCAACGATAACTTAAATTAGGCTTGACAAATGTAACTAAAAATTAATTTTATGAGATCTGCAGTATTATTTAACTACTTAATTTTTAATTTATTTTGAGAAAGGATACACTGTGATTTGAATTTTAGATTAAATAAAAATAATTTTAGAATGGAGTAACGTGTAGTTTTTTTTAATTTTTTTCATTATAAATTTTGTTTTAAAATTTTTTTTTTTAGTTTTTAAATTTATTGCATTATTATGCGCCGATTTGCTTGTGATTGGTGTCATTTTATATTTTCATTTCCTTAACGTTTTCGCTGTTTTACTTATAGCACAGATCATACAGATTATAAACTTTGTTTTTTCTTTATAGTTTTTCGTGGTTCCTATTTTCGAAATCGGGCACTAGTTAGGTTACTAGTTTGCGCACATAGCACGCCCACTTATGGCCTCTAAAATTGTGCACAGCGCCTGACCGGCACAGTTATTAGAGAGATATCGGAAAACCGAATAGCGTCATGCAGTATTTACGCGTACCTTATCCAAGAACGGTAAACTAAACGGTTAACTGTTCTTGTACCTTGACTACTGCTACATCCAGTTTTACAGGAGCATTTAGCTAGCTCTTGGCATGTCTGCCATACATTTGGAAGAACAGACCATAGAGGAGTCCACTTTAAATTCTTATTTTCAACCCCAGCCCCATCCCTTAGGTGATGGCGTTACGCCAACTATTTGGATTGGGGATCTTCTCACAATTACTTTCTTGGTGCTCTGCTGCTAGTAATAAATTTTTGATTTGAACCAAAACTTATATCTCGCGCGTAGGTGATTAGCTCGCAACTACTAATTAATACAGAACTAAATTCCGCCATTTTGAATTTTATAAACCTACTTGTATAAGTGTAGTATTAATCCTATTATTATTAGCATTCGAATTCAAAATACACTTATTAATTTAATCGATTAAAAAACTTAAAAAACAAAAAAAAGCAAAAAACAGTATTTCTAAAAAACGCCGCCATTTTGAATTTGCCTCCACTTGCAATAAGGTGCTGCGGGTCAAATCGATTGTTTATGTGTATATACCACTTATACCAAGTGGTTTGCTTCTATCATTATTTGAAACGTTTTTCGTGTATTTGGGTTCAACCACTACGACTATAATACGTGTTTTTGTCCTGGGTCTCTTTTGCTCAAGCTCAAGTAACAATAGTATGCCTTATAGTTCAATAAAATAAAAATAAACATTGGTTTTATCAAAACTTTTACTGGAAGCTATAAAACTGGACCTAAGCAGCCCCGTTCCTACGCTCCGGATTGCCGGAGTTAAATGAATCGGACGAGAAATATATAAATCCGGAATCGCTAGAGAAACGGTTTATTCCGGGCACGGACCGGTAAATCCGGCGATTACCTGGCGCCATTTTGCATTTTCAAGCTTGTCTAGGTAATTTATGCCACGGTGCTGGCTAATTCCTCGTTGAAAAGGGTAATATTAAAAGATTGAGATGGAAAATAGAATAAAACTCGAATATTTTAAGCTGATGGCTCCTTTTGTAATCTGGACGGAATATTTCTTGTCTATAGCATTGAATAAAAACAGTAGAATAAAGCTGGATTTTCATGCGTCCGTTGTCCGTTGATACCATATATATACAGGTTGTTAATTTGTTTATTACTCGTGGCAAGAGCTTTATGGTTGAAATATGGCAACCTCGGCCCGCTCGTCGATAGACGACGCGACGCGCGACTGGCCGAGTCGGCAAAAAACCCTATAAGTGCATGTGTTCTCAATAGGCAGTGTTGCCATTCTGTTCCCCTATAAGTAATTGTCCAGTTAACAACCTGTACATATTACACCGTATGGCTAATCAGGAATAGAGATTGAAGTCAAATTTTTCAGATAGAGTTATACAAAATTCACATAAGTCGGTCCTTTTCGTTCAACAGCTTTGAACCACGCAAGCGTGAGAAGTATTTATCGATTAGTTGATTTATTTCATACTAACCAATAGAAGTAGTTTCTATCTAGCACGTAAATTAATTTAGCGTCTAACTATTCGCGCCTTTACTTATAAATTTAAATTTAATCTCTGACATATTTAAACAAATACAAGAAGCGGATACATGTGATAAATATCTAAAATAACAGTTTGAAATAATGCCAATGAATTACCAATAAAATCATAATACTAAGGGCTGGCAAAGGTTAGTCTGGGGTCGAGATTTCCGATGTAAGAAGAGTGCAATGCGTTTATAATGTACTGAACAAAGAGAGGGCAGTAAACACGTTGCCAAACATATGAAATAAACCGAGACACTGTGCACATCGCTAACAGACGTGGAAGGGGATATAACAGATTTGTCGCAGTTGACCGGTCGACCCAATCAATACCTCTGTCAGTACTTAAAGTTCTAGGGAGAGGTGTACGTCATGCGTTCAGCTTCACGATTTAATTACGTCCCGTGATACTTAATTTGTTCATTTATTAACGAATCGTTGTAATTTTCCCTATAGCTTGAATTTTTTTAAGTGCAAGCTAGAAACACTTGCATTTTTGGTAAAAATAAGTGGAATTGAGTGGGTGTTCGATAGTGGTCGCGCTATTAGAACTCTGAATTCAAAAATCGATATCTCGAAATCTATTAGAAATAATAGATTGTAGTTTTTTTTCAAGAACTTTGTTAATATTTCTGCTGTATTTTCTTTGTAGACAGTATGTGAAAATCTTTATCAATAAAAAATTTACACGATTGCTAAAAATTGCTATGCTCTAAAAGTAAATGGATGGATATCCTTATAATTCCATTTCAGATGCTCAGAAACATGTTTAATGATTTTATCTAGTTATCTCTTGAAAAAAAGTCTTTTAAAAATAAGCGGTTTGCGATCGTGATTTTACTTTATAGGAAAAGGCGTATCGGCAACGCCGCAACAGCACACCGTTGCGCGTCGCGTCGGTCGGTCGCATTTCTCTCACTCCGACTTAATAAGATCCCTATGCGATTTACTTCTACACATGTAAATGCCGACCCAAAAGTAACAGTTGCCAGCACGGTATATTATACATTATTAATATTTATACATTGGCAAAGGGGGACAACAATTAATGGTCACAAAATTATCAACCTCAGATTTGCAGACGATACGGTCCTTCTAGCGGGAAACGAGGAAGAGTTACTGCAGCTTCAAAAATTGGTTGAAGACGAAAGCGAGAAACTTGGACTTGAAATTAATCCCTCTAAAACAAAAATTATGATTATCGACAGGCAAAACAACAACAAACCTGATATATATTTATTTATTATATATTTATATTTTATCACTTATAAACAACACGGGATCTTTAGAAGGGGAAATAAGAAGAAGATGTGAAATGACAAGAGTGGCAGTGCGAAAACTCTCAAAGATATGGCGAGACAAAAACATATCTAAACACTTAAAAAAAGGCTTGTTCACTGCCTAATATTTCCTATATTAATGTATGGCTCCGAGTCCTGGACGATGAGACAGTCAGAAATGAAAAATTGACGCAACTGAGATGTACTGTGGCGACGAATGCTCAGAATTCCCTGGACTGCCCGGCGAACCAATGAATCCATAATCCAAGAACTGAACATCACAGAACGCCTCTCAACTTCTATACAGTCACGTATACTTAAATATTTCGGTCACGTTATGAGGAGGGATACTGACTGTGTGGAAAAACTCATTATATACAGGGCAAGGTTCCGGAAAGAAGACCAAGAGGCCGCTCGCCCTCCCGATGGATAGACCAGCTATCAAAGATCACCCACAAGCCACTGCACACGCTTGTACATGAAGACAGGGAATTATGGAGACAAACCTCACACATCACCTAACCACTACATTCCTCTTGTAGGAATAAAGACAGAGAGAGAGAGAGAATATTTAGAGTTTAAAATAGACAGCTGGCAGCGTTCAGCGATGAAGTAGATGAATAAGATCGTCTTATTTGGTGCGTGCGCACGAAAATCCTGTTGAACGAAAAGTATAGTCTTATGCAAGATTGATATGCCTATTTTTTTTCTTTGGCAATACGCCTGATAGATCGCTTGGACTATTTAACCTGAAGATAAACTTTAGCAGATCGAAAAAGTCATTAATAAATTTAAGCTGTTTTCCCAACCATAAGACGCGAAAATTTTCAGACCAATAATTCAACGTTTTTATAAGAAATTATCGTACTAATCCGCAGCGACGCGGAATTAGGAATAATGTCTGTATAGTCTTCTTTCCGAATCTCGCATTTTAACTCTCTAAGGGCCAGTTTAATAGCTTGGGATTAATCCTCAGGTAGTTGGTAACCTTAAGATTTCTTACGGAAGTATCTATTTTTATAGGCTGTTGTAAACTGCAATTTAAACTTCAACAACTGGCGGATAGTGTAAAGTTAAATCACAATTTTCAGATTTTTAGTTTGCAGAGTTATAGGTATATTTGTTTTATGTTTATTAGTCTTATTTGTTTTTTCTCTACATTTTGATTGATTGTGTATATTATGCTCAATCATTTAAATTAGCTATATTAGTTCGATTGTGGTTTTAGAGTTAGGTCTTTGGATAAAGGTTGCTATGCCTGTGTCCCAGTCTGTTTTTCCAGTGGACATTTAAATTTGTCAGGAATTACATATACATACAGCCGTTACTCGCTGACGAGTATTCGACACACATAAAGAAGATGGTCACGCAAGGCGTTTTCTTTCATGAGCTTTTCTGTGACTGAAAAGCCCGATACGTGATGTTATCTGCCTACCGCACTCCGGACATTCAAAAATCTCATTGCTTTGTTGCCTCTTTACTTTTTGGTTGCCGCTGTTAACTCCATTGAGATCTATTGTGAGCTGCTGTTTCCCACTCATTCTGCATGTTAATTCCCTTTAAGTTTTCGTGGAAAATGTCCTTGTACCTTTTCAGTTGTTCACCCGGCCTTCTCTTACCGTCTACAAGCTCACCGTAAAGCAGAGATTTTGGTATGCGCTTTTCTTGCATTTTGCATAAGTGACCAGCCCATCTTAAGCGGGATTTTGTAACCATGACTTCAATACTCTCGCAGTTAGCTTTTTCAAGAACCGATACGTTTGAGACATGATGGAACCACCGGACTTTTAAGAGTTGTCTAAGGTGTCTCGCATAGA